ACTTCTCCTATCCCACCCCGCATTACTTCTTTATCACAGTAAGATGATTCCTCACTAAACAATGGAAATACACTACACTAAGTTCATGAACCCATGGAGAACTTAAAAATTTTCTTCATTCAGCAACAACAAGTCCAGAACAAACATAATTTTGGACAAGGAAATTCAGCAAAACCTTTGCTATAACTTGCACAAGGTCCTTTGCAGGTATGATTAAAGTCTTTAATGGAGCCCTGCTAACAAACTCAGCAATAGCCTTCTCCCCTCGTAAGGTACCATCTTTTATCAAGCGAGCCATTTTCAATATGATTCCTAAAAAGTGTCAAGCAATCCATTGTTAAGAAGGAAATTCAACTAACAAAGAATCATATTAAAAAGAATTACAGGAAAAGTAAAAACTAAAAAAATAATAATAATTTACAAACCATAAGTAAATTAAAGAAGCTAAATATACCAAAATCTTTCTCTGAATCTGTTGCATGAAATATTCCTGTGAAAATAGATCCACTTCTCACATGGACCTCCACAGGATGACCAATAAGACATGTTGCCAAATACACCAACCGATCACGGGGAGGACTCTCACAACCTCCAAGCTTACCACCAACAACTACACCAATACAAAGAAATATCAGATGGAGTATAATAAACAAAAAGACAAATAAAATGATAAAGAATTCTCACCTGCACTTGGTACCCTTGCAGGGTTGGGTTTTCCAGACTGCAACTTACTTTCCAGCCTAGTCCCCATATCTCTGTCGCCTCCCCTTCGACGACCAAATCCATTAGAAGAAGACCTAGCCAGTGGTACTTGTTGCATATTCTTTTCTGTAGATACAATCTAATAGAACAAAGAGCTCAGAAATCAGTTTAAAGTCAAACAAAATTACACAGGAAAGAAGTAGCTGGTAGAACTACTCTAAACATTCAACAGACTTTGATGCAAATCCCAGCTCAATGCCAAGCCAAAAGTGAATGTACAAAGATATGCATGGCAGGATTCATTTCATCTTACCACACACATTATCTCCTCTACGTAACAATTTGAATGACTAAAAAAAACCCAAAAAAAAAAAAAAAACTCCAGCAAATTAATAGCAAGAAAATAATGCTGCTTGTGACATGGAGAGAGGGACGGGCATGCATGCCGAATGCTTTAAAATCAAATAAAAATTGTAAATAACTAAGTCCCCAATACTCCACAGAATCCTTTTATTAAAAATTCGTAGAATTGTTCAATACAGTCATTTCTAATCACTAAAGCCCCAAAATTATGAACGAACGCAGCATTCAGCTAACCCTAAATACAACTGCCCGTCGCAATCGTCCTCAAAACCACTGCATTCTAAATTAACAAAACGATAACTAACACGAAATCGAATTGTAGAAAACATAAACAGAGAATACGATCCTTACCTTTACAGGGTTACTTAAACAACACACAACAGTTCCCTGAACAAGAGATGATTGTTGGAGGTAGAGGAAAGAAGGTCAGAATCGGGGAATCGGTGAGTTAAGGGGTAAGGAGAGTGGGTTTTAATTAGGGTTTGCAGAGGAGGAGAGATCACAACGCGAATCACGAGGCGGGAGAGAGGAAAGGGGAGGAGAGGAGACTCGGGGTTGTGATCGACGGGGAAGACGACTAAATTTTTTAGTGATTTTTTGATTTCTCGCGGAGAGGTTGGAGAGATGTGAAAATCAAATTTATATTATTATTCAAAGTTTTTTTTTTTTTTTTTTTTTTTTGCTTGAGTATTATTCAGAGTTCGTGGGATAGAGGCGGCTGCTGTTAGTCACCTCACTAATTAAAATTATAATTTAATTCTTTTAGTTAATTAAATATGATATTTTAAAATATTTA